CCAGGCCAGAGTATGGACCCTATTTAAATATAATCAAATTATATATATTCATCTTCAACTCACATAAACAACTTCAATACTTCAATTAAACACATCCAGGTATAAACTTCCAGTGAGTACACTCACCTTGGCTACTTTTCAAATTGTCTACTTATCCTTTGATATTGCTGAAGTGATCAGTTCATTCTCCTTGCCTGGACAAGAATATAACCAAGTTATATTTATTTTCTAAAGAGAATTAAATCACAATCATCACCTCAATTACAATTCTCAACTTTATACACCCTTTTGGCTAAATTCTAATCACATGTCTTTATATAAATTTCCAGCTTGATGACCCCAAAGAAAATAACCATAACCATGGTATCACTTACACAAAACAGCCTTTGAATAAATAAATAAAATATAAAAAAAATAGATGATACATATACTGGAACAATTAATTGGATTAATTATTCAAATAACTGAATAATCAACTTCCAACATAGAAATTATAATATAAAACCCCTCACCTTTGCTTGAATTCAACAACAATTTAGAGAGAAAACCCCCTTTTTTCTTTTCTATCCTCCTCCTCCGTATTTTTCTTCTCTCTTTGAACTATCACTAAATAGCTCACTGTTTTGATATATTTTGTGTGTCTCAACCAAAACAATGGCTTTCTCAAAGGCGGTCCAAACAGGTTTAAAAAGATAGAATTAACCTTATCTATATATAGAGTATATCTACATAATTGCGTGTCCTGTGTGTTCGGTCCAGCCTTGTGCAGCCAGCAACCTGACTTTACTCATCTCTATCCATATAAATGATAATTGAAACCTATATATATATACAACTATATATTGCAGCCACCAGCCACCACTTTAAAGCATAATAACTTTAGTCTTGAAAAGTATATAGTCACATGGATGGTGTAAATCTAGTCTCCAGGAAATGTAAATTGTCACATAGCTTATGTGACATGTGTTACCCAAAGTTTAATAATATTTTCTTCTTCTACGGCTGAAAAATCCCTCCTTTGTTTCTATTTGTATTTTTATTATTTTTTTTTTCTTTTTCTTGTCCATGCAAATCTCTAGACAACGTGTCACTTAGATATAAATGTGATTTTCCCCTCTTCATGACTCATGCGTGTGTGTGTCAATTAGTAACAGCCTCCTTTGGAAGCTTTTAGAATAAAGTGTATTACTAGATATCTATATACATGGGTGGGTGGAATATGTACTTGACCTGGTCAATAACTTACCCATATATATAAATAACTACTTGGTCAAACTTTAAAATAAAACATAAGTATATCAATATATATTAGAACCATCACACCACTTCCACCATTTATTACCTTCAGCACCAATGACCTTAGTAGACACCCATTCTCTAGTATCACACATATAACCACACACACGTACACATGGAATATTATCATTTTTATTATTTATTTTCTTACCATTGGCTGTCACCAACTTAATAAGTTTTGACACCAACTATTAACTTCACCATACAAACTACTACATAAAATATTCCATAAATGATGTCTAATAAAAATTAAATTATGCTAATAAAAAAATAATTATGTATTGGGGCCTTACAATTCTTCCCCCCTTAAGTAATTTCGTCCTCGAAATTAAAATGCAAGAAACATACCAAATAAGTGAGGATATTGCATTCGCATAACTTCTTCACTTTCCCAAGTCGCTTCTTCAATCGTATGACCCCTCCACAATACTTTTACCAGTGATATAGTTTTATTCTGTAGCACTTGCTCCCGGTGATCCACAATCTGTACCGGTTCCTCTACATAAGTCAAATCTTCCTTCAACGCTATCGGTTCTGCAACTAAAACATGAGATGGATCCGATATATACTTTCGAAGCATAGACACATGGAAAACATCATGCAATCTTGATAATTCTTTTGGTAATTCCAACCGATACGCCACTGCTCCTATTCGTTCCAGAATCTTGTAAGGTCCAATGTATCTGGGACTTAACTTACCTTTCTTTCCAAACCTCATAATACCTTTCCAAGGAGAAATACGAAGAAAAACAAAATCACCAACTTCAAATTCCAAATCTCTTCTTTTTCGCACATCTACATAACTTTTCTGTCTATCCTGTGCCACTTTCATACGCTGCTGAATTATCTTCACTTTTTCTGTTGTAAGTTCAATCAATTCTGGACCCAATAACTTTCTTTCCCCCACCTCATCCCAACACAATGGAGTTCTACATTTTCTCCCATACAAAGCTTCATACGGTGCCATTCCAATAGTAGACTGATAACTATTATTATAGGCAAATTCAATCAACGGTAAATAATCATCCCAATTACCTTTGAAATCCAACACACAAGCTCTCAACATATCTTCCAAAATCTGAATAGTTCGTTCTGACTGCCCATCTGTCTGCGGGTGAAAAGCTGTACTGAACTTCAAAGAAGTTTTCATGGCTTCATGCAAACTATACCAAAATCTCGAAGTGAACTTCGGATCCCTGTCACAAACAATAGAAACTGGAGCCCCATGCAAACATATGATCACATCAACATACAAACGAGCATATTCCTTTGTAGAATAAGTAGTTTTTACTGCCAGAAAGTGAGCTGATTTCGTCAATCGATCAACTATCACCCAAATAGAGTCATGTCCTCGTTTTGATCTTGGAAGTCCCGTCACAAAATCCATGGTTACATGCTCCCATTTCCACTGTGGAACTGGTAACGGCTGCAACAACCCTGCTGGTTTCTGATGTTCAGCTTTCACTCGTTGACATATCAAACACTTTGCTACAAATTCTGCAATTTCACGCTTCATATTGTTCCACCAATAGTATTCTTTCAAATCCCTGTACATTTTAGTACTCCCCGGATGCATAGCATATATAGAACTGTGGGCTTCATCTAAAATATCTTTCTTCAAGGAAACATCATTTGGAACACAAATTCGACTTTTAAAATACAGAATCCCATCATCCCTAACTATAAATTCAGTTTGCATACCCTCTTGAGCTTCTTTTCTTTTCTTATCCAGGAATACGTCATGTATTTGCAGCTCTTTAATTCTATCCAGCAACAAAGGTCTCACCGTAACATGTGCAAACAATGCTCCTTTGTTAGTAACTGTCAATTCAACTCCCATCAGTCTCAATTCCATAATATTTGCCACCCGTGCACACTGTACACAAGATAGTCTCCCTGAAGACTTCCTACTCAAGGCATCTGCTACTACATTGGCTTTTCCAGGATGATGGTGGATATTACAATCATAATCTTTGATTAACTCCATCCAACGCCTCTGTCTCAAATTTAAATCCTTCTGTGTAAACAAATACTTCAAACTCTGATGATCTGTAAATATTTCACAAAGTTCACCATACAGATAATGCCTCCACAATTTTAAAGCAAAAACAATAGCAGCTAACTCCAAATCATGTGTAGGATAATTCAATTCATGATTCTTCAATTGTCTAGAAGCATAGGCAATTACTTTACCATTTTGCATCAAAACACATCCCAGACCCTGATGTGAAGCATCAGTGTAAATCACAAAACCCTCACCACCACACGGAATAGTTAACACTGGGGCTGACGTTAACTTTTTCTTCAATTCTTCAAAACTTCTTTGGCATTCCTCACCCCACACAAACTTTACTTCTTTCCGGGTCAACTTTGTCAATGGCAATGCGATACTAGAAAACCCTTGGATGAACCTCCGGTAATAACCTGCTAATCCCAGAAAACTTCTGACTTCTGTCACATTGGTAGGCCTTTCCCATTTCACCACTGCTTCCACTTTTGATGGGTCAACATAAATACCATCCCCAGATACTACATGCCCCAAAAAGACAACTTTATCAAGCCAAAACTCACATTTGCTGAACTTAGCAAAGAGTTGTTTTTCCCGTAACATCTGTAACACAATTCTTAAATGCTTTTCATGTTCATTCACACTCCGAGAATATATCAAAATAGCATCGATGAAGACAATAACAAAAGAATCAACGTACCGATGAAATACTCGATTCATTAAATCCATAAACACCGCTGGAGCATTGGTTAACCCAAAAGGCATTACCAAAAACTCATAATGACCATATCGAGTTCGAAAAGCAGTTTTCGAAATATCACTATCCTTTACCTTCAACTGGTGATATCCTGACCTCAAATCAATCTTAGAAAACACCTTTGCCCCTTGCAACTGATCAAACAGATCATCAATTCGTGGCAATGGATACTTATTTCTGATGGTCACTTTATTTAACTGTCTGTAGTCAATACACAACCGCATAGTACCATCCTTCTTCTTAACAAATAACACCGGTGCACCCCACGGTGAAATACTAGGTCGAATAAAGCCTTTATCTAGTAAATCTTGCAACTGTATCTTCAACTCTTTCAATTCTGTCGGTGCCATTCGATACGGAGCAATAGAAATTGGAGTTGTTCCTGGTACTAACTCAATGGTAAAATCTACCTCCCTGTCCACTGGCAACCCTGGTAATTCTTCTGGAAACACATCTGTGAATTCCCTTACCACTGGTACATTTTCAAGTGTCATATCTTTATTTTCAGTATCAACCACATAAGCCAAGTAACCCTGACACCCTTTCTTCAACAACTTCCTGGTTTGTATAGCTGAAATGAGACAGTTTGGAATAACATTTCTTTCTCCTGTAAATCTAAATTCTGGCTCCCCTGGTATCTGAAAAACAACTTCTTTCCGAAAACAGTCTATTGAAGCGTGATACGCAGATAGCCAATTCATACCCAAAATGATATCAAAATCTGGTATACCCAACGGTATCAAATTTACCTTTAACTGTCTATCTCCCAATTGTAACACACAATCCCGGTATTCATTTGCAACCACTACCACTTCTCCCATTGGTGTAGAAATAAACAATTTACTATCTAATGATGAAAGTGGTCTACCCAAATGCATAGCAATAGATGATGCAACAAATGAATGGGTTGAGCCAGGATCAATAAGCACAGTAACATTTCTATCCAAAATAGAAAGTGTACCTGTCACCACTTCTGGTGTTGCTTGAGCATCCTGAAGTGTCATAGCAAACACTCTTCCCTGGGCTTGCGAACCACTTGTAACACCCTTACCTCCTCTTGACGAGTTCCCCTGTGCAAAACCTCTACCAGAACCAGCAACACTGCCCACTGAGGTCATTCCTGTCAACATAGGACAATCTCTCCTCCGATGACCCGGCTGATGGCAATGATAGCACTCTTCTGCTTTCAAGATAGGACAATCCTTCTTCTGGTGACCTTCCTTTCCGCACTGAAAACACCCCCTGCCAGTACCACGTCCTCCAAAACTACCTTGTTGAACAGATTGTTGTTCCGAAAACCCTTGACCTCTTCCAATACTTGATGTCTGGCCTTGAGATTCACCACCCCTTCCCCTTCCATACCGCGACCTTTGACTTTTCTGACTTGCAATTCCTTCACCTCCTCTTGACTGTGACGGCTCAGATCTATTTCTTTTGTATTGTTCCCTTCTTTCTTGCAATTCTTTCACATCCCTTTCGGCAATCATGGCTTTATTCACAAGTCTGTTGTAATCTGTTTCCTCGAACACTGAAACTCTAGACTTAATAGCCGCCTCTAAACCATCCTGGAATTTTGTACATTTATCTTCTTCATTCTGTACAAACTTGGGTGCGAACCTCGATAAAGCTGTAAACTTAACTTCATAGTCAACCACAGACATTCTATCTTGTTTTAGGAGAATAAACTCCCGTTCCTTCTCTTTTCTGTAAATTGGAGGGAAATATTTCTCATAAAAAGCTTTAACAAATGGATTCCAGAATATCACCTCTTTCTCTCCTGGAGTGAGCAACAAATGTTTTGTCGTGTCCCACCAATAACTAGCTTCATTTTTGAACATAAATGTAGCTAAGTTTACCTTCTGGTCTTCTGCTGCACCCATCACTGCAAATATCGATTCCATTCTTCTTACCCACCCCTCTGCTTCTTCTGGTTTGGTAGTACCTGAAAATTCTGGGGGTGTTAACTTGATAAACCTCTCATACTCAGAGCCTTTCTTCCATTTCTGTTGTCTTTCCAGCCTTTCTTGTATCATCATTTGACTCGCCATAAATAGTTTGTTTTGTTCTGCCAAGTCTATTATAGCCTTTTCCATTTTCTGCATACCAGTTAAGCACTCCTGTTCTCTTCTCATACCACCCTGCATAGGTTGTTCTACTTCAGCCTCAACAGGAACATAAGTGGCTTCACCCTCAGTTCCATGATAACCACTTTCCCTTTCCATTTCTTTTTATCTGCAATGAATCTCAAATATAACAACATATATATGATACATAATCACCACTTATATCTGTTAGTATAACATTAAGTCAAATAAATGACTCTACTACACACTTCTTACTGCCACTGCCAGTCTAGACTCTTCTGACCTCCAGAACCTAGAAAACCTAGGCTCTGATACCAAAAGTTGACACACCCCAACCCAATTTACATTATTAAACAAATTGAATAAATTGGAATGCATCTAACCATCTGCATTAACCTCCTTCAAATATAACGTCATCCTACATCAGAGCACCTGTTTAACAGTTTACAATTCAAAAACTACCTATAGGCCTGTTATGCAAATTCTGACAAACAAAAAAAACATTAACGGCAACTTATACTATTAAATTCTATTACAATATTTACATATTAAACAAAAGACGTTCCATTGTTCTTTTTCCCATTCCCACTCAAAAATTCTAGACCTGGCAGTAGCGACCCAACCTTGTACCTGAAAAAAAATATAGATATGGAAGGAGTGAGCTTAAAGCCCAGTGAATGCAACACTACTACATCAGAGTAATATAAACAAATATTATCTGATAACTTCAATTAAACTTCATTAATATATTACAGGCATTAAAATATAGTACTCTCCTTCTAGGCCAGAGTATGGACCTTGTTTAGATATAGTACTCTCTTTCTTGGCCAGAGTATGGACCTTATTTAGTGTAGTACTCTCTTTCCAGGCCAGAGTATGGACCTTATATAATATATTACTCTCCTTCCAGGCCAGAGTATGGACCCTATTTAAATATAATCAAATTATATATATTCATCTTCAACTCACATAAACAACTTCAATACTTCAATTAAACACATCCAGGTATAAACTTCCAGTGAGTACACTCACCTTGGCTACTTTTCAAATTGTCTACTTATCCTTTGATATTGCTGAAGTGATCAGTTCATTCTCCTTGCCTGGACAAGAATATAACCAAGTTATATTTATTTTCTAAAGAGAATTAAATCACAATCATCACCTCAATTACAATTCTCAACTTTATACACCCTTTTGGCTAAATTCTAATCACATGTCTTTATATAAATTTCCAGCTTGATGACCCCAAAGAAAATAACCATAACCATGGTATCACTTACACAAAACAGCCTTTGAATAAATAAATAAAATATAAAAAAAATAGATGATACATATACTGGAACAATTAATTGGATTAATTATTCAAATAACTGAATAATCAACTTCCAACATAGAAATTATAATATAAAACCCCTCACCTTTGCTTGAATTCAACAACAATTTAGAGAGAAAACCCCCTTTTTTCTTTTCTATCCTCCTCCTCCGTATTTTTCTTCTCTCTTTGAACTATCACTAAATAGCTCACTGTTTTGATATATTTTGTGTGTCTCAACCAAAACAATGGCTTTCTCAAAGGCGGTCCAAACAGGTTTAAAAAGATAGAATTAACCTTATCTATATATAGAGTATATCTACATAATTGCGTGTCCTGTGTGTTCGGTCCAGCCTTGTGCAGCCAGCAACCTGACTTTACTCATCTCTATCCATATAAATGATAATTGAAACCTATATATATATACAACTATATATTGCAGCCACCAGCCACCACTTTAAAGCATAATAACTTTAGTCTTGAAAAGTATATAGTCACATGGATGGTGTAAATCTAGTCTCCAGGAAATGTAAATTGTCACATAGCTTATGTGACATGTGTTACCCAAAGTTTAATAATATTTTCTTCTTCTACGGCTGAAAAATCCCTCCTTTGTTTCTATTTGTATTTTTATTATTTTTTTTTTCTTTTTCTTGTCCATGCAAATCTCTAGACAACGTGTCACTTAGATATAAATGTGATTTTCCCCTCTTCATGACTCATGCGTGTGTGTGTCAATTAGTAACAGCCTCCTTTGGAAGCTTTTAGAATAAAGTGTATTACTAGATATCTATATACATGGGTGGGTGGAATATGTACTTGACCTGGTCAATAACTTACCCATATATATAAATAACTACTTGGTCAAACTTTAAAATAAAACATAAGTATATCAATATATATTAGAACCATCACACCACTTCCACCATTTATTACCTTCAGCACCAATGACCTTAGTAGACACCCATTCTCTAGTATCACACATATAACCACACACACGTACACATGGAATATTATCATTTTTATTATTTATTTTCTTACCATTGGCTGTCACCAACTTAATAAGTTTTGACACCAACTATTAACTTCACCATACAAACTACTACATAAAATATTCCATAAATGATGTCTAATAAAAATTAAATTATGCTAATAAAAAAATAATTATGTATTGGGGCCTTACAGAAAATATCTCAATAAAAGTACATTTTATGTCATTAAACCTTTTTAATGCATATAGATTGAATCTTTGAAACAAAACAAGAGTTTGAATTTAAAATTATTCGTGTTACCTAGTAGTCGCGAAGAGTGTTTTAATGAGTATATGTTGAATCTTTAAATGAAAGTACCTCAATAAAGTTACCTTTTATGTCACTAGACCTTTTCAATGTATAAAGATTGAAACTTTGAAAGAAAATGAGGTTTTTGAGTTAAACTTATTCGAGTTCCCTTTGACGTCCCGTAGGGTGTTTTACAGAGTAAAGATTGAATCTTTGAACGAAAATACCTTAATATAAAGTACCTAGTATGTCACTAGACCTTTTTAATGTAAAAAGATTGAATCTATGAAATAAAATGATAGTTTAGAGATTAACTCATTCGAGTTACCTATGAAGTCGCGAATCGTGTTGTAATGACTAAATATTAAATCGTTGAATGAAAATATCTCAACAAAGGAACCTATTATGTGACTAGACCTTTTTAATGTATAAAGATTGAATCTTTTAAAGAAAATGAGAGTTTTCAATGAAACTTATTCAAGTTCCCTTTGACGTCCCGAAGAGTGTTTTACAGAGTATAGATTGAATCTTTGAACGAAAATACCTCAGTAAAGGTACCTTGTATGTCATTAGACCTTTTTAATGTAAAAAGATTGAATCTTTGAAAGAAAATGAGAGTTTTGAGATTAACTTATTCGAGTTATTTATAAAGTCGCGAAGCGTGTTTTAATGAATAAAGATTAAATCTTTGAATGAAAATACCTCAATAAAGGAACCTATTATATGTCTAAACCTTTTTATTGTATACAGATTGAGTCTTTGAAAGAAAATGAGAGTTTTGAATGAAACTTATTCGAGTTCCTTTTGACGTCCCGAAGAGTGTTTTAATGAGTAAAAATAGAATTTTTGAATGAAAATACCGCAATAAAGGTACATTAGCTGACCTTTTTATTGCATAAACGTTGAATCTTTGAAAGAAAATAAGAGTATTGATTTAAACTTATTCGAGTTACTTATGAAGTGGCGAAGAGTGTTTTAATGAGTAAAGATCGAATCTTTGATTGAAAATATCTCAATAAAAGTACATTTTATGTCATTAAACCTTTTTAATGCATATAGATTGAATCTTTGAAACAAAACAAGAGTTTGAATTTAAAATTATTCGTGTCACCTAGTAGTCGCGAAGAGTGTTTTAATGAGTATATGTTGAATCTTTAAATGAAAGTACCTCAATAAAGTTACCTTTTATGTCACTAGACCTTTTCAATGTATAAAGATTGAAACTTTGAAAGAAAATGAGGTTTTTGAGTTAAACTTATTCGAGTTCCCTTTGACGTCCCGTAGGGTGTTTTACAGAGTAAAGATTGAATCTTTGAACGAAAATACCTTAATATAAAGTACCTAGTATGTCACTAGACCTTTTTAATGTAAAAAGATTGAATCTCTGAAATAAAATGATAGTTTAGAGATTAACTCATTCGAGTTACCTATGAAGTCGCGAATCGTGTTGTAATGACTAAATATTAAATCGTTGAATGAAAATATCTCAACAAAGGAACCTATTATGTGACTAGACCTTTTTAATGTATAAAGATTGAATCTTTTAAAGAAAATGAGAGTTTTGAGTGAAACTTATTCAAGTTCCCTTTGACGTCCCGAAGAGTATTTTACAGAGTATAGATTGAATCTTTGAACGAAAATACCTCAGTAAAGTTACCTTGTATGTCACTAGACCTTTTTAATGTAAAAAGACTGAATCTTTGAAAGAAAATGAGAGTTTTGAGATTAACTTATTCGAGTTATCTATAAAGTCGCGAAGCGTGTTTTAACGAATAAAGATTAAATCTTTGAATGAAAATACCTCAATAAAGGAACCTATTATATGTCTAAACCTTTTTATTGTATACAGATTGAGTCTTTGAAAGAAAATGAGAGTTTTGAATGAAACTTATTCGAGTTCCTTTTGACGTCCCGAAGAGTGTTTTAATGAGTAAAAATAGAATCTTTGAATGAAAATACCTCAATAAAGGTACATTAGCAGACCTTTTTATTGCATAAACGTTGAATCTTTGAAAGAAAATAAGAGTATTGATTTAAACTTATTCGAGTTACTTATGAAGTGGCGAAGTGTGTTTTAATGAGTAAAGATCGAATCTTTGATTGAAAATATCTCAATAAAAGTACATTTTATGTCATTAAACCTTTTTAATGCATATAGATTGAATCTTTGAAACAAAACAAGAGTTTGAATTTAAAATTATTCGTGTTACCTAGTAGTCGCGAAGAGTGTTTTAACGAGTATATGTTGAATCTTTAAATGAAAGTACCTCAATAAAGTTACCTTTTATGTCACTAGACCTTTTCAATGTATAAAGATTGAAACTTTGAAAGAAAATGAGGTTTTTGAGTTAAACTTATTCGAGTTCCCTTTGACGTCCCGTAGGGTGTTTTACAGAGTAAAGATTGAATCTTTGAACGAAAATACCTTAATATAAAGTACCTAGTATGTCACTAGACCTTTTTAATGTAAAAAGATTGAATCTCTGAAATAAAATGATAGTTTAGAGATTAACTCATTCGAGTTACCTATGAAGTCGCGAATCGTGTTGTAATGACTAAATATTAAATCGTTGAATGAAAATATCTCAACAAAGGAACCTATTATGTGACTAGACCTTTTTAATGTATAAAGATTGAATCTTTTAAAGAAAATGAGAGTTTTGAGTGAAACTTATTCAAGTTCCCTTTGACGTCCCGAAGAGTGTTTTACAGAGTATAGATTGAATCTTTGAACGAAAATACCTCAGTAAAGGTACCTTGTATGTCATTAGACCTTTTTAATGTAAAAAGATTGAATCTTTGAAAGAAAATGAGAGTTTTGAGATTAACTTATTCGAGTTATCTATAAAGTCGCGAAGCGTGTTTTAATGAATAAAGATTAAATCTTTGAATGAAAATACCTCAATAAAGGAACCTATTATATGTCTAAACCTTTTTATTGTATACAGATTGAGTCTTTGAAAGAAAATGAGAGTTTTGAATGAAACTTATTCGAGTTCCTTTTGACGTCCCGAAGAGTGTTTTAATGAGTAAAAATAGAATTTTTGAATGAAAATACCGCAATAAAGGTACATTAGCTGACCTTTTTATTGCATAAACGTTGAATCTTTGAAAGAAAATAAGAGTATTGATTTAAACTTATTCGAGTTACTTATGAAGTGGCGAAGAGTGTTTTAATGAGTAAAGATCGAATCTTTGATTGAAAATATCTCAATAAAAGTACATTTTATGTCATTAAACCTTTTTAATGCATATAGATTGAATCTTTGAAACAAAACAAGAGTTTGAATTTAAAATTATTCGTGTCACCTAGTAGTCGCGAAGAGTGTTTTAATGAGTATATGTTGAATCTTTAAATGAAAGTACCTCAATAAAGTTACCTTTTATGTCACTAGACCTTTTCAATGTATAAAGATTGAAACTTTGAAAGAAAATGAGGTTTTTGAGTTAAACTTATTCGAGTTCCCTTTGACGTCCCGTAGGGTGTTTTACAGAGTAAAGATTGAATCTTTGAACGAAAATACCTTAATATAAAGTACCTAGTATGTCACTAGACCTTTTTAATGTAAAAAGATTGAATCTCTGAAATAAAATGATAGTTTAGAGATTAACTCATTCGAGTTACCTATGAAGTCGCGAATCGTGTTGTAATGACTAAATATTAAATCGTTGAATGAAAATATCTCAACAAAGGAACCTATTATGTGACTAGACCCTTTTAATGTATAAAGATTGAATCTTTTAAAGAAAATGAGAGTTTTGAGTGAAACTTATTCAAGTTCCCTTTGACGTCCCGAAGAGTGTTTTACAGAGTATAGATTGAATCTTTGAACGAAAATACCTCAGTAAAGGTACCTTGTATGTCACTAGACCTTTTTAATGTAAAAAGATTGAATCTTTGAAAGAAAATGAGAGTTTTGAGATTAACTTATTCGAGTTATCTATAAAGTCGCGAAGCGTGTTTTAATGAATAAAGATTAAATCTTTGAATGAAAATACCTCAATAAAGGAACGTATTATATGTCTAAACCTTTTTATTGTATACAGATTGAGTCTTTGAAAGAAAATGAGAGTTTTGAATGAAACTTATTCGATTTCCTTTTGACGTCCCGAAGAGTGTTTTAATGAGTAAAAATAGAATCTTTGAATGAAAATACCGCAATAAAGGTACATTAGCAGACCTTTTTATTGCATAAACGTTGAATCTTTGAAAGAAAATAAGAGTATTGATTTAAACTTATTCGAGTTACTTATGAAGTGGCGAAGAGTGTTTTAATGAGTAAAGATCGAATCTTTGATTGAAAATATCTCAATAAAAGTACATTTTATGTCATTAAACCTTTTTAATGCATATAGATTGAATCTTTGAAACAAAACAAGAGTTTGAATTTAAAATTATTCGTGTTACCTAGTAGTCGCGAAGAGTGTTTTAATGAGTATATGTTGAATCTTTAAATGAAAGTACCTCAATAAAGTTACCTTTTATGTCACTAGACCTTTTCAATGTATAAAGATTGAAACTTTGAAAGAAAATGAGATTTTTGAGTTAAACTTATTCGAGTTCCCTTTGACGTCCCGTAGGGTGTTTTATAGAGTAAAGATTGAATCTTTGAACGAAAATACCTTAATATAAAGTACCTAGTATGTCACTAGACCTTTTTAATGTAAAAAGATTGAATCTCTAAAATAAAATGATAGTTTAGAGATTAACTCATTCGAGTTACCTATGAAGTCGCGAATCGTGTTGTAATGACTAAATATTAAATCGTTGAATGAAAATATCTCAACAAAGGAACCTATTATGTGACTAGACC